TGGTAGCAGGTATTGGGTTTGGGGGTCAATGTGAGTCAGGATTGCTTCGTGGTAGCAGGTATTAGGTTTGGGGGGTCACTGTGAGTCAGGATTACTTCATGGTAGCAGGTATTGGGTTTAGGGGCCACTGAGTCAGGATTACTTCATGGTAGCAGATTTGGGGGTATTGCACAGTGGATTTTCTTTATTTTAAAATACACATGTACCTGGGCGCATGTACCCACACTCACACCCACCCCGGCTCACTTTTCTACCAACTAACAGGCTTATAGGAGAACAGGGAGCCCTCGTGGTGCTGTCAGATAAGCTTTGGGCTGCTAACTGCAAGTTCAGCAGTTCAAACTCACCAGCCAGTCCAAGGGAGAAAGATGAGGCTGTCTGCTCCTGTAAAGACTTAGAGTCTTCAGAACCCTGTGTAGCGTCTCTCAACTCAGGGGCAGTGGGTGGGGATAAGGAGACTAACAACACTAGGGTGTACACAGTTCTTAGAAATATGAACCATTGAGATACAAAGAGAAGCATTTGCCCAAGAGCCGAGTTCAGAAAGTCAGAAGGGGTAAGAGAGAAAGGAGGAAGGGCACAGGGAGGTGCAGTGTGGAAGAGCAAACCGTGACGGTGCATTGTGGGGATTGTCATCAATGGTGTGAAACTAAACGTGTGTGAATTGTTGAGTGAAAAACGGATTTGCTCTCAAAACTTTCATCCATTCACAATAAAAAGTTGGGACTGGGGAAATGGGAAAAGAAACTCAACATTTTTCATGGTAAGGAGCAGGCTTTTATTAAGAAATGAGGGGTTTTTTTGTTTGGCTGTTTATCCCAGAGAGGCCAATGCCTCGGCAGCTGTGATGCTTGTATTTCAAGTTCGGTTTGTGATTTGTTCCAAGCATCACCAATGCTGACTGTCCCATCTCAGTTGCCTGCAGCAAGGGAATGCCACTGCACCCCAATCTTAGTGATACTTGAGGGTAGAAGGCTGCAGAAGTAATAGGTTATGTACATGGGGACTGGTTTTGGTCCCCTTAGTGGTTCCAAAATTCGATAAGTATGGATTGATGTGACTTTCAAAGAGGTGAGGCTCCATAAGGTCTGTTTTCTGAGGCTTCCCTGCATTCTGTTTCCGCAGTTCAGAATATCGACCTCGGGCTGCGCAGAGCTAGGCATGATGGGAGCAGGGGACTCTCAGGCTCGGAGTGTGAATTGGGGCTTGGCCCTCAGTGCCTGCTGTGTTTCTCAAGTCCTGTGAGGAACTCCTTTGCTCTGTGAAGGCATAGCTGTTTGCAAGGCATGTCGTCCTCGCGTGAGATTTAATGGTTGTGCTTTCATGCCACCAAACAGGTCGACGCCCGCAAGCCCGCCCCCTCCATGGTCGACCGGCTTCAGAGGCAGATCATCATCGCCGACTGTCAAGTCTACCTGGCCGTGCTCTCGTTTGTCAAGCAAGAACTATCAGGTATGCCACACCATTCTTGTTAATGGCTTGCCCTACTCGGTAGACACGTCGCGAACTCTCCTCTTCGTCTTTGAGAGACTGTGGTGCCTCTTCGGGCATGGGGTTGATTTAGGACTCGGAAGGGAGGCTGCAACCACTAGTCGGTTGGTGTGAGTGTAGCCGGGTGATCTTCGTCCAAAGTCTGTGCTTTATCGGCCTGCCTCCCATAATCCTGTCACGTGATTGTGGGGCGACGTTCTCCTGCAGTGATGCCAGGTGATAGAGCCTTTCTGTCCGTAGGTCAGTCCTGCCTCCCAGGCAGGAACCTCCCAACAGCAGGCTGGCAGGCTGTCTCTAGTGGGGACAGTGGTGGTGGTGGTGGTGGCTGGGGTGGGGTTTGAACTGCTGACTTTTTGATGGGCAGCCAAGTGGTGAGTCATTTGTGTCACCAGAGTTCCTAATACTGTCACTCTTAGTGAAATTGCGACCACCTATAGGAGACGGTGGGTGGGGCCGGGACTTTATATAGAGCAAATTGTCAGAATGGCCTCTGGAGCGAAGTCTCCCAGGGTTGTTGAGAAATTTGTTATTGAAGGTCTGAGAGCTCACTAAAGACTTCCTAACAATGTCAAGGCCCCGCCTTTCACAAACCTTCCGTGAGGGCTGTGCACGACTGTCTTAATTAGTCTGTGCACAATACATGTTCTCCAGGCATTTGGTGGCTTTAATTTCTTGAGTGATGGAGACGCAATTGCGTCTCTCCCAGGGGAAGACGGTGGTTGAAAGGGACACTAATTCTTTGGCTAATGTGGTTATGTCTCTCTGATACTGACAGCAGAAATCCTTTACTCTGGTGCACAGAATGTGTTTGAAAAATAAAAATTCTAGAAGCAAATGAAATAAATTAAGTCAGAAAGGGGTTTTCTTCTAAACCTGAAATACAGAAGACTACATGGCTGCCAAGCAGGCACACTTCTGTCTAGGCTACCAGGGACCCAGCCTCTTCACCCCCACCTCAGCTCCCACCACTGGGAGAAAGATGCGGCTTTCTACTCCAGGAAAGAGTTACAGCCTTGGAAACCCCCAGGGGCATGTCTCCCCTGCCCTACCGAGGGTCTCCATGAGTTGAATCTAACTCGATGGCAATGAGTTTGAATTGGAATTCTCATCTTTTTTTTTTTAAATCATTTTATTAGGGGCTCATACAACTCTTATCACAATCCATACACACATCCATTGTGTAAAGCACATTTGTACATTCATTGCCCTCATCATTCTCAAAACATTTGCTCTCTACTTAAGCCCCTGGCATCAGCTCCTCATTTCCCGCCCCCTTCCTCATGAACCCCTGATAATTTATAAATTATTATTTGTCGTATACTGTCCGATGTCTCCCTTCACCCACTTTTCTGTTGTCTGTCCCCCAGGGAAGAGGTTATATGTAGATCTTTGTAATTAGTTCCCCCTTTCCACCCTCCCCTCCCTCCACTCTCCTGGTATCGCCATTCTCCCCACTGGCCATTCTCCCCACTGGCCATTCTCCCCACTGGCCCTGAAGGGATCATCCGCCCTGGGGAATCCTCATCTTCAGGCTCTCCCATCGTGTCGCTCCCCTAGCTTGTGGGGAGTTTGCGGGGTGCAAACCGATAGCTCTGTTGAGAGGAGTGCCGTCCTGCCTCATCCATAAAAGAGCAGCGCGCTTGTCTGGACAAAACCTTTTTTGACAAAACAGGAGTTCTGGTGGCACTTTCTGTGATCTTGTACTTCCTTTTCTTGACACTTCTCAAAGAATCTCACTGCCATCAAGTTAATTATAACTTGATAAATAAAGCTTCAATTATAGCTTTATTTATAAAAAAGAGAAGTGCCCCATTTTTATTTCCAAAGCTATAAGTCCTCATGGGAGCAGAAAGCCTCATCTTTCTCCTATGGAGTGACTGGTGGGCTCAACCTTCTGACCTCGTGGTTTGCAGCCCAATGCAGAATTCACTGGGCTCAGTTTCCTAACACTTAGGAGCTTTTCACAAGGAAGCTACCTTCTAGTTGTCCAGGCCTGACACTTGGCCGTCCTCCTCTGCCTACTTGTCCCCTAGAACTGGTCGGGGATGGGGCAGACCTGCTCTTGAGCCACACTCTCCCCCAGGCCCATTGCCTAATGGCCATCCCATCACCTAATAGGGAAATCCACCTCCCCTCTTTGGGTGCCTTCCAAGCTTCCATGTCTTCCTACTACCCAGTCCACCTGGAAGAAGCACACTATCATCAGTCACTGAAGGTTTACAAATCATATAATCCAAAATCGATGGAGGGACTAGTGTCAGAGCCTAAATTGTGAGAATCCAGTGTGCAGAAGGCTCCAGATGTCAGTCGGAGCCCCAGATTCATTGGTGGGACCTACATAGGAAATAAGTCTCCAGTGAACTCCTGGAAGTTCCCTAAACACCCTTTGCTGCTCCACCCTCTCAGCATGGGATGCTCCCACCCCCGTATCTTACCCTTGCCTGTCTAATTGCAACCCTGGGCTCCTGCTTTTGCATCAGCCTTCCTCATTGACTTCATAGCTGGCCTTGTTTTTCTCCATGCACGTTGCACAGAGCCAGTTAGAGCACTCAGAACCCAACAGCATGTTTTCATGAGCGTGTATAAAATGCAAACTCCTTGACGGTGACGCTGTGTCTGCCTGCCTGCTGGCATCCCTTCTCTCCCTCATTTATTGAGCACTTGCCCTGTGCCAGTCCCTGAGAGATGGCAGATGCATGTGGTCCAGAGACCAATGAGATGCAGCTCTTGCCTACGGGAACTCTTGTTTTAGGAGGGGATAAAGATGAGTGAAAAAGTGAATTCTAATTCAGGGCAACACTTTCATCAGTTATTGTTGTTAGATGCCATCAGGTCGGTTTCAACTCACAGCCCCCTTGTACCTTGACAACAGAACAAAGATCTCTCCAGGCCAGTGCCTTCCTTCAGTCAGTGCCACAATGGGGCCCGTAGTTGCAGGCTCTGTGTCAGTCCATCTTATGAAGGGTCTTGCTTCTTTGTCTCGGATCCTCCACTTCTGCAAGCACAATGTCCTTCTCTAGGGACATGAGACAGTTTATTGTGCCAGCCTGGCTGATAAACGCAGGTAGGATTGACGGAGGGGCGGAGAGATGGATGGCTTGGTGAGCCTTGCCTTTCTTGTCTCTCGCTCTGTGATCATCGGACTAGTGTGCTGCTGCCTTGCTTGTTCTGTGCCTCAATTTAAAGGCTACACTGCCTGTGGGACGCCTAGCCTGTGGACTGTGTTGCTGTGAGTTGAGGTCACTTTAAGACATCTCTGGAGCTGGGGACTGGCGGTTGGTGACCTGCCTTGTGATTGGCTGCTGTGCTGACATGGCCTAGCTCTCTCTACAAATACAGGAAGATCTGGCATCAGATAGAGACTGGAAGGACTGCTAGTCTCTCAACTTTCTCTCACGGACGTGAGTTGCACTAAGCCATTTATAGTGCTTCTAATTTAACTGTTTATTTCTTGTATTGTATATTTATCTGTATATGATTTAACATTTCATTTCTCATTATATATCTAATTATCTTTATGATTTAACATTTCATTTTTCGTTATATATTAATTATCTTTATAAATAAATATATTATATTATCAGGAATTTGGTTTTATCTCTCTAGAGAACCCTGTCTAACACAGGACGGGTCCCTTCTGACCATATATCCAGTGTACGTGGGGCAGAGTCTTGCCATCACGCTTCTGTGGAGCACTCTGCTGTACTTCTTCCATGGCACATTTGTTTATTCTTTTGGTAGCCTATGGTAAACTTTAACCTATAGATCAGTGGTTCTCAACCTTCCTAATCCCTTTAATATAGTTCCTCATGTTGTGATGATCCTCCTCTGCCAACCATGAAAATATTTTTGTTGTTACTTCGTAACTGTAATTTTACTACTGTTAAGAATTGGGAAACCCCTGTGAAAGTCGTTCAACCCCCAAAGGGGTTGCAACCCACAAGTTGAGAACCGCTGCTGTAGATACTTAAACTAGTCCTAAAAGATTCCCAAAATTCCCTCTGGGAAGCACAAGGAGCCTTGATCCTGTCAGAGTTACAGAGAATGAAAGTTCACGTCCTTCTCTTTGTACCTGGCTCCCTATGCCTGTTCCTGTGCCTAGCACATGCCTGTGCCTAGCACATGGTGAGTGTAGACTGCAGGATTTAAAGAGAGGGCCAGAGGGAGCAAGCATGATGCTATTAGGAAAGAGGTACATGATACTGAGTAGAAGCCCCGTGAATAGTTGGGATTAGAAGAGAGATTCTATAAAAAGTATGCTTGGAAACTGATTGTGGAAGCAATTATACAATTCTGCTTGTGATTGAAGTGTGGAATGCTATAACTTACGTATTAACTCCCAAGTAATAATACATTAAACAGACAAACATAAGTCTCGGAATGGGTTTGGGGCTCACAGTAAATCCTAGCTCCAACTTAGGAACAATTAGTTCTTACATCATGGCCTGCTGGATACTCACCCTCAGAAAGGGAACACAGAAGATAAGGTGCTATAGCAAAATGTGGCAAAGAAATTAGATGGTGCCCAGCTATCTGATAAAAGAGCATCTGGGGTCTCAAAGGCTTTTCTCCAAACAAGCAGCCATCTAAGAGAGATGTCAACTAAATCCACCTGGAAGAAGCACACTATCATCAGTCACTGAAGGTTTATAAGTCATATAATCCGAAATCGATGGAGGGACTAGTGTCAGAGCCTAAATTGTGAGAATCCAGTGTGCAGAAGGCTCCAGATGTCAGTCGGAGCCCCAGATTCATTGGTGGGACCTACATAGGAAATAAGTCTCCAGTGAACTCCCTCTATCCACAATCAAGGGATGGGAGGAAAGGGGTTACTAAACAGAGGGCATTGGAGAGATGAGTGTAGAAGATCAAAGTCATAAATCTCACTTGAACAGTTAAAACTTTGTCAGTTGGTACCCCCTCTGATGCCTGCTGGACCTGACCTGGTTTTCAACAGTTCC